TAATTTAATCACATTATATTATGTGAATGAAAAACAAAATTAGGACTAAGAAATAAAGAAAGTTATTAAAGTTTTATAAGAGGGAGGAAGTATATAATACAAAATAAATTCTATGGTGTGTTGTGGGTTTTTTACAAGAATATTACTAAAATAAAACTTATTTACATACATATGACTATTCATTACTACAACGTGGTGTTGTGGTAACTTAAGTTCAAAACTTGAACATAAATTACTACGATTTCATTACTATTCTAGTAACTAGTCATATTTTTGTAAACCATCTTTATTCTGATCATATTTATTTTTGTAATTATTTCATAAAAAAAGAATAATGACATAAATCAATGAAATGTAATATACATATTGTACTCTAACTTTTTAATAGGATACAATAGATTCATTAATCGTGTATATAGGAAAATCTAAATATATTATTTATGTTTTTGTATATAGTCATAGCATTCACCATACCCGAAACATAAAAATGTTTTGAAATTTCTAAATAGAATGACAATGTTTTTATTTTTTTTAATTATGTGTAATTATTGTCAAGCTAGCTTAGATAACAAGATCACTTATATAGTGTCATAAGTGACAATATCTTACAAGTTTAAAAGTAATTACTACGTAGTAATATCTAGCGATAAAACATTTTTATCATAATTTGAAATTTTCAAATGTTTTTTTAGCAGGAGTTTAAAGGCATTTTTCGAGACAATTCTTTGAGTGTATTACATCGTAGAGAGCAATCAGCCACAAAAAAAACATACTTGTATTATTCAATATCTCCCTATTATATAAATCGCGGAAGGATGTTAGTATGGTCCTCTTCCGTTACTTCTTCCGTTACTTCAGCCCCACATACTTCACTCCGTTTGCTGCTCTCCCTTTAGAAAGTGAGCCACAAATGCTTTTCTTAATTCATTTCCATTCTTTAATTATCAGTATTCGTGCTTCTCATTTTTGCTAGGGTTCTGAAGTCCTCCGCCAAAGCTGCTAGCTTTCGGTCGCCCGCCATTTCGCCCTGTTTTTCTCGCTCCAGGAGTTCAGAAATCGGGGTTGATGCCCAACGAAAAAGTTCGAGTGAAGAGGTTCGTGCATCGCTTTTCTGTCAATTCAGTTCATTTCATTCTCTTTAATCTTCCAAATGTGTGCTCTTCTCAGTTTAGGTGAACAGGTCGGGTTTATTCCAGGTTTTGTGTGTGTCGTTTCATTCGAATTTCCAATTTATTTGTCCTGCTTTTGCTTGTATTTCTTAAGTTCGAGTGAATACCTTAGGTTTCCTCTGGTTTTGGTTGGGCGCAGAGCCAGGAGTATTTGTCGAGGATTTTTTTATTATTGTAAGTTTTTATCATCTTGAGTAGGGTTTACATTATTATATTCATTAGTGTATGAACGAAACAGGAAAGATAATTGGTACTTCTCTCAGTTTTATTTGTTTTTATGGTTAATGTTTGATTAATCAGATGGCTATCTTTGTGAGCTTCTTTTACACCAACCCATCAGGCGGGGAGCTGTTTGAGCGGATTTGCAATGCTGGCCGATTCAGTAAGGTCGAGGTTTTTAGTGAATGCATGATAATTTGTCTTGTCACTTCGTAATTGCTTCGAAAGAATTCTTTTTGAATAGTGCATTTGCAATATTTGAATTGTAGGCAAGGTTTTTCTTTCAACAACTAATATCAGGTGTCAGCTATTGTCATGCAATGGTACATCAAATGAGCTTTGCCCTAAGAATTCTGATTTTAGTAGTCATCTATATAAAGGTAGCATTGTTCTAAGGCTACAATTTGTTATGTAGCAGGTATGCCACCGAGACTTGAAATTGGAAAACACATTACTTGATGGAAGCCCAGCTCCGCGATTGAAGATATGTGATTTTGGGTATTCAAAGGTAGCGGGTGATTGTTCCATTAACTCATTGACTCCATATGGGATATGTTTTTTTTTTATCTTTATGATTACAGCATTGTAGTTAGCATTTGGTCATAACATTTATGCATGCATAGCACACCAGATAGCACATTACATATTAATCCTTTAAGGCAATATTTGGAATCAGGAAAGTGTTATGGGGGGACTTGGGAAAGTGATTTTTGTGTTTGATTTTACCATTGGAAATGCAATCGATTTCAATTAAAAGTTTTAACATTTAACACATATTTAGATTTATATATATTTTTTAAAAGAAATATTTAAATAAATTGAGTTTGAGCAGATCTCTAACATGTGATTACTGGGCAATGTTACTTATTTACTCATTTCGATGAACTTTTTGATATGGCATAGGAAGAAGCTGAATATGTGAAAGAGCCACACCAGGCTGTTTACAAAGACGACAAGCTTAGGACAACTCCTGTAATTGAGATTGATAGGTCTGGTCAGCCCAATAGAACAACAAATTCATCCTCAAGAGAAAATAGTGTGTGGTAGTCCAATATCATCATATAGTATATAGTTTATCTGTTTGTTTGTTGAGAGTGATGGATGTTGAATTTTGATATATGTTTTGTTGTGCGAATGATGGGTGTTGTTCGTTGTTTGTTTTAGATCCGGTGTAGTTATGTTGGCTTCTTTGGCTGGATGTCCTTGAATCTGTTTCAGGTCTTAAAGATTTGTCGAAATGGAGTGTGTTGGATAATGGGACTAAACAACTGTAAGTTTTAGATTCTGTTACTAACGGTTTAATTATGCAATGGACATTGTACTCCTATACCTGCTTCATTTTCAGGTCATGCTAGAGGTTTAATTAAGTAATGGATATTGAAAGATGGATCATACTAGAGGTTTAATTATGTTATCAAGGTATTATATTTATTTGCTAGGGGAAGAGAAAATAAGGGTCAATGGACCTTTAATAATCTTATTTGTTTAGGTTATCTAACACTTGCTACTTTATATTATTTATGTATATCCCCTGCTTATGTATATCTCTCAACCTCCATGGAGTATCGAGCGGCTCCAATAACCATCAATGGCCCCTCACCCCGTTAACTTCAGCTAAGATTTCTCCTTCTTTTTATTTTGTTTCCTCTGATTTCTATTTTGAGGATCAAGCAGATCATAGATAACCATCAAGAAGAGGTTTGCATCGCTTCCCTTGTGTGTTGAATTAGTTCTTCGCCATTTATCGAGTTCTTCACCATTTATCACTCCAGGAGTTCAGAAGTTGGGAGCACTTGTATTATAACAAAATCCATTATTCAGGAATCTAAGTAGTGACCAGATAGAAGTTCAGCCGTTCAGGTAAGCCATATTCGTTTTCCACCCCCGAACATGGTCGTGGAGTTGCCGCCATCGCTCTGTCCTATGTCATGAGTTACAGTGGTGAGGTAATTTCTCTCCGTTTCTCTCTATCCATTCTCCAAGCCTAGCATCAACAATCCCGAGTGAGGTAATTTCTCTCCATTTATTCTTCTATCTATGAGTTGCTCCTCTATCCACAAAATGAAATTCCCGGCCCTATTGCTTTAGAAATTAGAAGTTTTTCTAACCTTTGTATGAAATGGCCTAAATTATTGCAATAGAATTGTGAAGCTGGTTTCCCCCTTTTGGTTGATTTGACGTGCTTTCCCGAATTTGTACTTGTTTGTCCTATAAATATAATTTCCCTAATGTGGGCCTTTTCTTTGGTGTTGCCGTGTTGCCCTTGTGCTTTATGTTGCTATGTTACTGCTGAATTTGAAAATGCTTTTTGCATTTTGTTTCTGATTTCAATAAAATGAGGTGTGTTCCTTGAGAAAATAAAGACAATAATTTGTTGGCTTTATATGTTGTGGTGTGCAGAGAATCTTCTCCTTCATAGGGACAAAGTGTTGATTGGTTTTATGTTTACGGTGGGTGTGTAAAGGGCATTTCAGTTTGTGTTATAGATGTTTCAGAGGCGAATTCCTCATCTCCTCTTCAAGCCTAGAGGTTGGGTTTCTTCCTTTGTTTGATATTTCCTTCAATTGATTACCAGGATGCCAAATTCATTGGCGCTTCATGCCTTCATATAGATAATATGAAAAAGAAAAAATTCAGAAATATTTGGAATTATTATACCTTACTATGTAAAAAACTGAAGCACTCTAGGTGTTTGGTTTTTCTTGGTGAATATTTGTTTGGTTATTTTCCTTTTCTCAGCTAATTTGCACTGTGTGGGTCACTGAATGCGCACATCTTGATACTCCCGCCTCCCGTGCTTGCTATTTTAAAAATATAAACTTATGCCTCTAGAATTAGCGTAAAATAGACAGTCATTCCCTTAGGAAATGCATTATGATCATTATTCTACCTTACTTTCTGATGATAATGTTACTGATATCCATGACATCTTTATATAACCATGAGACCTTAAATGGGCGAATGTCTGGTTTTCATTCCAGCTAATAGTGGACCGACTAACTTCCTGAAATGGGTCTTAAGCTTGCTGAAAATTCTACTCTAAACAAGTTAATAACAGCTCACTAGCTTGAGTAATTTTTTGTTTCTTGTTTTAATGTGCTGTATTCAAAACTTTTATACATCTATTTGTTGCGACTCAAACCTACGTCTAGAACTTGAAGATGCTGCTCTTTGAGTTTGCTGCTCTTTAGAGCTGCTGCGCTGCTGCTCTTTGAGCAAAGAAGAATAGGGAGAGGTTTGGGTTTCTAGCATGAGTGCATTCGTTGTTTCTCTACATATACATGGTCAACATGATCTTATAAATCTTGTATTTACTTTAAGATAATTTTAGGGAGAATATATATATATATATATATATATATATATATATATATATTTTGTATGTGTTCCATGCTAACCGACCATTACATATCTAATCCCGTGTAATGATCTAACGTTCATAAAAAATCTGAAATTATGTAAGTACTTCAGTCTACATTCCATCGGTTTGATGGTATCAAGATTGAGGCTTTCCTAGAACTCATATAAGATTAAATTAGTGTCAAAGGTCCCTTCTATTTTCAATTTTTTTTCAACATATTTATGCTTTGCTTTGATATGCAGGTTGAGTTAGTGCCAGGTTGTGTGTCAAATTATTCTCATTCTTTATGCAAGTTGAGTTAGTTGGCATGTTTTGTGATTTATTATGCCTCCAATTCCGTGCAAATGATGATAGGATATGGAGTTTTAGCAAACATTTTTATAGGATATGCAGTTTTTGAGTTAATATGCAGCTTTAGCAAGATGATGCTAATTCTACTTTAGCTCTGTAAAGTCTATTCGTTTTGCTAAAATTTAGACGATTCTTTTGCTATTGCTTAGAAGGATGCAATGTTATTTCTTTAAAATGTCTTGCTCTTAAATTATAAAAACATTTGTCTCTTCATTGCTTCATGTGCTTCCCTATTTGCAGCTATATAAGTAGGACTGAAGCGTGTTTGAGTATAAGAAATTAGAAATTAGTAAGTAGAAATCATATGCACGTGTGGGTCATGATTGATAAGAATATGTTTATGTTTTACTTCTGTTAAATTTTAATAGTAAAAAGTTAAAACATTAGTATTGACCTCCTGCCACTCTTGCAGGTTAAGCTACTTAATAAGCTTGCATTAGCGGAAGCATTTGGAAAAGGTGGTGGCAGTGAAGTCTTAACCGACTTGGTTGATGGTCTTGAGGAACCTGGTATTGTTGTTGGATTGAGACTGAAAATTGATGAGAACCATCCAGATCTTAGAGGAGGGTATATATGGAACTTAAATATATCAGCCAAATTGTTGTTTCAAATATATCAGCCACAAGAAATTTCTACTTGAGTAACAATGTTGGTTTTTCTCTTCTAGATCCTTCTGGGATTATGGAAGTGTAGCTCTAAAACACTTGGAGGCTACTGTAGACTGCTAACTCAAACCTTCTTCAAAAGGCTCTGTAGTATTGATGAAAATGAACCTCCAAATAGAAACATTAAAAATATTGCTCTCCTTCATTGCAGAGATGTAGCTCTAAAACACTTGGAGGCTACTGTAGACTCTGCTAATTCAAACATTCTTTTCTAAGGTTTTCACTATTCCTGAATCATTATTCCTTTTTTCATGATGGAGAGCAATATTTTTATTTATTCCTTCACCTCCAATTTCTTGATAGCTTTCTTCATTATAGATGAAAATGAACCACCTTCAATTTTTAATGGTCATTGCTGAATGTTTATACTGTAAATGCACATGAAGTGACTATACATATTCCTATTTGATGAACCCACTTTTGTATGTCTGTCTTATAGGATCACATGCGTCGAGCTGCAGTTTTCATTTGCTACGAAGCAGTTCTCCTCCCATCATCTATCGATTTCTAAAGTATGCTTGTCACCACCATCTGGGATGAGTTTTCAACTTACTTTTCTTTCATCCATGTACTGCTTTAAGCTTACTTTTCAGCTCTACGTGCTAAACAGACAAGCTGAGAATAACTTATTGTTGGTGTAGTGGCCTGCTTCCTCAACCTAATACACGAATTTAATTGCAGGAGCTTAGAGGCAGGTTATGCTTTTTCCTCCCCTTTATCTCACAAAGCAATCAGTGAACCCAGAATCATAGTGAAGACAAGGACATACAAGTGGAGAAATCTGGGCAGAAAGTAGCCGAAGGAAACACTTAACAAAGATACTCATTTTCCTCATCTTTTTGTGTTCTTTAAGTGTATTGGTGTACTCATTCATGTAAAAATCATCCGCAAAATTCCTTCGCAAGAAGCAAACGTTTATTGGCTGTCCCTGGTAAGCTTTCCTAGACCAACATTGAATTTTTTTTTAAAATACTTTTGTAATATATTTGCGCAGCGTTTTTATACAGTTCAGTTTTTCCCTCTTTACCCAACGTTGGGCCTGACCAGCGCGCAAAAAACTCACAACTATGCTCAGTTTTTTAATCAGTTTTTTACATTACTTTTGTTTCCAAATCATTCGCCACCATTGGGCATGACAACCGCGCACAGCGCGGGCCAAAGCTAGTATTGTAGATATGGATCAAAGTAGACGGGGACTACAGCTAGGCAACCAAGAATTTAAATTTTTTTCAAATGTTTTTATTCCTATATAGCAAAATTTTCTTATTACTTTTTAATATAGTGCACATATATATCCATTTAGTGTTGCACATTTACTATATGATATCCCTTTCACATTTTTTCAAAAAATGGACCATTTATCAACGAATGTGAATCATAATCTGAATGTAATTGCAATAACAAAAAGCTGTAGGCTTTTCCGTCAATTCTTAATACGAAGTATAATTTTAAATGATTCATTTCGATCAAATTTTATGTGACAAAAATATAATATACTACTTCCGTTCTTTATTAAGGGTCTGTTTGCAACAGCTTCTGCTTTTATAAAAGTGCTTTTTTCAATGAAATGGGGAGAAGTGATTAAATAAAAGTTGATAGTGTTTGAGAAAAAAGTGATTTTGAAAAATAAAAGTGGGTAGTGTTTGGTAAAATAAGTGCTTTTTGTGTAATAGAAAAAGTAAAAGCACTTTTGACGCAGAAGCCGAGAAAAATAAAAGTTGTAGTGTTTGGGAAAATAAGTGTTTTTTAAAGCCAAAAGCTGAGAAGTACTTTTTCAAAAGCAGTTGCAAACCAACCCTAATTGCAACACATTGACTTTCACGCTGCCAACCCACGATTTTGATTGTAATTATATTTAATTACGTATTACTACGTAGTAAATATTATTAGTTCTGCCATTAGCTACCCTTATCGCTAATTAAATATTAATTAGGCTCAGCCTATTTACTTTCTCATTAATTATAATTTGTTATTTTACTAAATTGGTAAGGTGTTACCCGACCCTTACCCCATCCTCAGATGGTTTGCCACCGGCACTGAAAAAATATATTATAAGAAGTTAATATTTTGAAAATTCACATTAATAAAAATTTAATAATATTTTATACATTATTATTTAACTAGATATATTGGTAGAAATCATAAATCATGATCAAAATAAGGTTTGTGAATAATTTCAAAATGACAATATCTCAGCTATAAAACGGAAATTAGTCAAATTACAAGCGCATTTAATGGAATAGATGATCCAATTATAAGTTGTCAATTATCCTAAATTTTGGGATGACTTCAAATACAGTTGTTCATATGCTCATGGCTGACGTTTCCTCCGATCAACTTGAAACTTTATACTCCCTCCGTCCCATTTAAAATTTTACATTTTTCTTTTTGGGACATTTCTTTTACTCTTTTACGCTTCCTTTTTAGACAACTCCTTTTATATTGAATGTTTTAACTACCCTTCACTGCCCACATTAATTTTACATTTGAATGGATAGCATTAATTCCCCCCAAAAGTCAAAAGGCATGCAAGACATTTGTTCTTCTATTAATTGAGCTCCTAAAATACTGTGTCAAAAGCAATCATTAAGTTCTATCCGGAACGGAGGGAGTATTATATGCGCTCGTCACATGCTCATAAGTCACACGCATGCTCATTAATTTTAGTTGATAGAGAATTAATTAAGCAAATTACACTAGATAGAACTTAAAATGTTTGTATATTTTAAAATAGAACTATACTGTTTTTATTACTCAAATAGAACTAATTGTTGCTATGTTTTGGTAGTACCAAACTTTAGATATGTTATTTTTTTCAAATTTGGCATTGATTGCTCCTATTTTGGGAACAAAAACACGAATCCCTATATCTTACATCCGGCAGTGTGTTCACGTACATCCAGTCCAAATAACTAAAAAAACCCATTAACTAATACAACCCATAATCAAGACGTCCAATGTTTGAGGTGGATAACAAGCGGAAGGGGCCATTTATTTCATTGGCATTTTTGTAATTTAAGCGAAAATCATGGCTTCTGCTAAATGAGCATTAGTGTACTTTTAGTGAGCATCTGGACTAATCTATTGAGTATTAGAAGGCCAACAACAAACATCGTGATCTCTGTTTCATATCATCTGTAACAACAACCAGGTCGTCACCACTCAACATGTTTAACTACGCACTGAGCTCGCTATATATGACTTTAAATCCATATTGAATTTTTTGATTTTGAATTTATTGAAAATTTTATCAACTCACGGTTGAGGCCGTGGATATATGTATCAACTAACTTGTAAGAGCAGGAAATTAGAGCAGCGGAACGGAGACTTCCAAGCTCGAGCTCATGTTCATTTGTAGGCATGTAGCGGCGTATCGCCTTCTTCTCCGGAAATCATTTCAAAGCGGAGTGTACTCTTTTTCTTACATTGAGTTTTTTCCCACAAGGCTTTTTCCTCAGCGGAGTTTTTACTGAGGCCCCCTTTGTTATGACGATGGAGAGAAGTGCTCCCAGCGGGCGCACCAGCCCAGAAGTTAGGAGATTTACTCTCTCTCACCTCAAGTGTTACGTTCGCTTCGGAGAGTGGGGGACTCATGATGAGTATATTTCCATATACCCCAGGGGTACCACAACTGGCAAACGAAAGGCCCCCGAACATGCATCTCAAACGCATAAGGACAAGGGTTCCAACTGACCTTCGACACCCAAGGTCGGAAAAGACATTAGACGATGAATCAACAAAGGCAAGAAATCCGGCTGAGGCCGACCTCGACCTCCACCTTGAGGTCGGAGCTCGAGAATCGCTTGGATTAGGCCAAATATTAGGCCGACCTCGGGCACGCCGAACTCGGTGCCAACTCCGACCTCTGACCTTGACACAAGGTCAACCAAAGTCAAACGAAGTCAACGAGGGGGTCAACTCTACTAGACAAGACCGAAGACCGGAGATAAATCCTCGAGTGATGGACGTAGGCATCCGAGCTCTGACCTCCAGGAGCTCAGGATCTCCCCAACACTACATGGACTTGGGCATTTCCCGGATTGTAGCAAGTACTACATAAGCTACTGCCACGTCACCGATTTTGTAGGAAGCGCCACATCACTCCAAGTGAATGCTATGAAGAATATTCTGGATAATACACGTGTAAGCCGCACATGTATTCCGTTACTAGTTTGTTACATGCAGTTCCAATGAGCCAGCTGTCCCACTTATCTCTTCAATCACTTTCACACGTGTCAACACTCCATTAGATTAGTCTAATTATTCCATTAGACAGGGAGGACACGTGTCCACTCCATAATAGAATAGCATCTTTTTACTTTATGGTCACCAAGTATTGTCTTTTTAGTATAAATATCACTCTCCAACATGTGGAAAGAGATCCGAAATACAATTCTCTTGTTGTTAATCCACTGAAATACACGCTTGATCTCACTCAGCGATTTCTCCGATCTTCTCCCTTATTTTCCCGGATTCCGGCTATCCCCAGAGTCGACAATCCATCAACTATATTGGTGTCATATGAAAAATTATACTCAACAGATTGCAACTATAGATTCAAAATACTTTGTAATATTAATGCGATACATTTTGTACACAAACAGATTCCAAATGAAAAAGCTATAACATTCCACATAAAACATTGATTACCCACATGTCATGAAACTATTAAATGATGGGTCATTTTTTTTTTAAAGAAATTACCGAGATTCCACCAATTTTTAGGGTTGTTTATTTGATTTTAGCAATGTTATTAGTTTTAAAAGTTGAAGGGGCAAACTTGTAACCACAAGGTTGCGTTGACTAATATGGGGTGCGCATATAGAAACTTTATAGGATGACATCTGATAAGAACAGAAAAAAATAAAATCAACGGGGTGAACCGTTGTCCAGATAATCAACGATAAATAAATACCGTTGCCCAGAGTCAAAAGGCTAAACCAATTTTTATTCCAAGATTATCAAGAATGAAGCATACAAGAGGTATAAATAACCCTCTAGGTCTAATAAGAATAGGAATCCAAAATAAATGGGATAAGGGTCAGATAGAGCCTCGAACTCGAAAAATAATGTCAAATAAGGTCATATTTAGGATGCTCTGTCCGGCCGACGTCATTTGGGGTGGTTCCCGATGGAATTTTTTGATGAAATTTTTTGAGCATCTTCCTCATTAAGTCTAGTTTACTCATACCAAATTTCACCTAAAAATGCAACCGGGAAGGTAGTCAAATGATTTTCCGAAATGTACGGGGTTGTTTAACTTCACAATTATCTTCAAAAAATTATTTGACTACCTTCCCGGTTGAATTTTTAGCTCAAATTTGGTATGGGTAAACTAGACTTAATGAGGAAGATGCTCAAAAAAATTCATCAAAAAATGGCATCTGGAACCGCCCCAAATGGCGTCGGCCGGACAGAGCATCCTAAATATGACCTTATTTGACATTTTTTTTCGAGTTCGAGGCCCTATCTGACCCTTATCCCTAAATAAATTAATCTAGGAAACTAAATAGAATAGGAAACATCTAGTTCTAATAGAACTCCTAATTAAATCATTCTAGGAAACTAAATAGAAATAGGAAACCTCTAATTCTAATACGAATAGAAGTCCTAAATAAATCCTACTAGGAAACAAATTAAATTAGGAAACAAAATAAAAGGAATAATAAATATTAATTAAACAGCCCGCAACCAGCCCACGAAGGTGGGCTCAAGCCCGTCCAGCCTTCGGTAAATCCACGGGGGCTTCTGCCCCTCTTCTTCCAAGCCCAGATTCTGCTTCATATCAACTTCGCTCGATCATGTCTCATGGCTGATGTACTCAACTTGGATGTGCCTAAGACCACCACCTATAGATACCCCACTCGGCACAAAATTGCAGAGGAAAGAAAGAGCATTAGAATTCAATAGCTATAAATCCAAACTCAATTCTCCGTCCGACTTAACTAAGAAGCAATGGAGCTGGTCTTCATTCCCGCGCCTATGATGGGTCACATAGTATCAACTGTCGAAATGGCAAAGCGCTTAATGTGCAACGGCAGGAACAATGAGGTTATTATCAGCAGCTTCACCATTCTCATATTGCAGCAATGCTCTTTCGATGACCAAATCAGTCAATACATCCAGTCCCAAACAAGGACGGCGGATGACTCCCGCCGTCCGAGCTCATTGAAGTTTGAGACGCTCACTCTGCCCCTGCGGACCGGCAGCGGCCCCGCTGTAGCAGGGGTGCAGTCCGTCGACGCCTTCAAACCCCGAGTAAGAGACTGGGTTTCCGGGAAAAACCTCCGATCCTCGGGGAGGTTGACCTTCGTGGTTGACTTTTTCTGTACGGCCATGGTCGACGTCGGGAATGATTTCGGCATCCCAACCTATGTGTTCTTCACCTCCGGCGCGGCGGCGCTGGGGGTTCTCATTTTCTCTATCGAGATCGTCAAATCATTATCCGATCATCCTAATAACCCCACCCCCTTCTTAGACATCCCCACTTACCAAAACCCATTTCCGGCAAAGTGTATGCCGCCGCCGCTTCTGAATAAGGACTCCTCCCATATGTTCCTCCGCATCTCCGAAGGGATTAGAGCGGCGAAAGGAGTGCTGGTCAACACGTTCCTTGAGCTTGAATCACACGCGGTCAACGCCCTGAATGACGACCCACGCGCCCCACCCATCTACCCCATCGGCCCGTTGCTGAACCTGGAAACGGCGGCTGCCGGCGGCGAAACAGAGCAAGTTTTCGAATGGCTAGACAGGTGGCAGGAAGAGGGGTCTGTCGTGTTGCTTTGCTTCGGGAGCATGACTCGTTTCAGTACTGAAGATGAGGAGCAAATGAAGGAGATCGCTACGGCTCTAGAGCGGAGCGGGCAGAGGTTCTTGTGGGCCTTCCGGTCAGCAGAGGATGACGGCGGTCAAGGAAGGCGGCTGCTGCCAGATGGGTTCCTGGAGAGGACGGAAAAGGTGGGGAAGGTGGTCAACGGTTGGGCCCCTCAGGTCGCCATACTGGCCCACCCGGCTGTGGGGGGCTTCATTTCCCACTGCGGATGGAATTCAACTCTGGAGAGCCTCTGGTTCGGGAAGCCGATCGGAACCTGGCCTATGCGAGCAGAGCAAGAAGCCAATGCCTTCCTGTTAGTGAAGGAGATAGGGGCCGGAGTAGAGATTAAACTGGCTTCCAAGACGGTAGTTTCCGACGGAACTGATGAATTGGTGTCAAAGATAGTGCCGGCGGCGGAGATTCAACGGGGAATCGCGCAGCTTATGGATCCTCTGAATCCGGTTAGGCTAAGGGCCAAAGAATTGGGTGAAATGAGCAGAGGGGCACTAGCGGTGGAGGGCGGCTCGTCCTACACATCCCTACTACGCTTTGCTCAAGATGCATTTCATCACCACCAATTGATTTGATGATTAATAGCTAACGCATTCTTGCTTAACTTTTTGAGAAATGGTTCCAAATAGGACTTAAAACTTGCATATGTACCTAAATAGGACTTCGATGATTTTTATACTTAAATAAGACTTTATTTTTTCGTGCTTCCAGATTTACCCCTAGGCCCTAACATATTACGCAGATCTCCTTTCTCTTCCGTGTCGACAAATCCATTTACCCAGCCAAGCTTCTCTTTCGAACTGTGGCAGTGCCTCCTCGGCCTAACAACAGAGTGGAACGCGGAATCCAAATCAGATGAGGCGCGGCAGCGACACGACGGAATTACGGCAGGCCTGAGTTGACGGAAAAAGAGATGATGGACGGCGAGGTACAAGGCAGCTCCTGTGAAGCAGGCCCGGCCTAGAGGGAGTGCAAGTGGTGCAGTGGAACAGGGCCTCCACTAAACAAGGGCCTCCAATTTTAGTTCAATGTTAGTTTATTATAGAGTTTATTATAGATTAAAAGAGACAGATTTTTCATGAAAATTTAGAGATTTGGCGGCAATGCACCTGCTCAGAAGAATGAACGATGTTACTCTTCGGATCAAAACAATGCGACTCTTCATAATGTGAAATAATGGGAAAGAGGTACTCCAATAGGAGTCCTGACAGATATATTTATAATAGAAGAGTTGCCAAAATACAAAGTATTCCTAAATAGATATTAGGAATATTCCTAAATATCTATTAGGTAGATTCCTAATTATATTAGCCTATTACACCCCCTCAAACTGTGCGGGAGATACAACGCGCAGGTTGTCTTTTAAAAAAATGAAATTGCAAACTAAAAAAAAACTCTTAGTAAATATATCCGTGAGTGGAAGATTAGAAGGCACATCTTTGACAATAAGATCTCCATGAGAATATATGTCTGCAGCAGCAAGCGGCGAACTCAACAGCGCGCTTGAAGCAAGCACCGTGGTCAGCGACGCAGAGAAGGTGGGCTGCGCGGACATAGGCAGCAGGCGGCGGCGAACTCAACGGCACGCTAGAAGCAAGCACCGTGTTCAGCGACGCGAAGGAGGTGATCTGCGCCATATTAGCCGCGCTCATCTTCAAAGGATCGGAGACTACCGTAAATGTGGCGGCAGTCAACCCCGAGGCGGCGGTGGCTATAATAAGGTTCATGGGAACCGAAAAAAGAAAAAAAAATTGTATCTACAAACCTAGAGCTCTTGATACCATGTGAAATAATGGGAAAGAGGTACTCCAATAGGAGTCCTGACAGATATATTTATAATAGAAGAGTTGCCAAAATACAAAGTATTCCTAAATAGATATTAGGAATATTCCTAAATATCTATTAGGTAGATTCCTAATTATATTAGCCTATTACATAAAACATACACAAATTACAAAATTTTGAAATCTTCTATTAGCGGCCAAGTGACTCGATCAACAGGCCAAGTTACCCTTCATAAGAAAAGAAGAGTATATATCTTCTTTTCTTTTGCCGAACAAGGAAACCTTCATATTTTATGAACTATTAGCTTTTCTATCAAATAACTTCCTAAATTTTTAATTAATCTAAAACGAAGTGGGGTAAAGGGAGAGGATCGGTCCTTCACAGTTGCGTAATTGCGTTCCACCCTTTCACACCTCAATATTTTTCTCCAGCTGTGTATGGTAGGTACTATCATGTTCTTCTCGCACATATATACTCTATACGACTATACTCGCATTTCATGTCTTTGACATGCCCGACTCTTTCATTAAACACAACCACGGAGTAATATTTTTGGGAGTTATGATGTTTTGTTTCATTGTTTGTTAGGAAAATAAAATGATACTAAGTATAAGTTTATCCCTAAATGTTCTTACACTTTGCTTACTGCTTGTTTAGATCTTCTATCGACTATATTTTATGTTCTAGGGTCTCCAATTACATTTTGAACAGGGCCTTTAATATGTTCAGGCCGGCCCTCCTGCGAAGATGTTGCAAATCTGTTCTTCTTTTCTCCTGTTGTCGCACATTTTCTCTCGATTCGTCTCATCTTTAGATGCTCTGTTTTTCTTCCTTCTTTTGTTTTTTTAACGGCCTTCCGTCTTTTGTTTGTTCGCTGCTCTGGTTTTTCTTTTTATCTTGTTGCTCAATTTTCTTTTTCCTTTACCAAATTATAATTCTGTTTCATTTATTTTTAATGTGCATAATTTTTATTATTACTTCTTTATTTCATTTTGACCATTGACCCATGTAATGCTGGATTTACCGCTTTAATGTAGTGTCACTGCTACAATTGTGGATTTCATTATCAATGTCATGATGCAATAAATAATGTTAATTAATGTGAAGACAATAGACAATGTGTGTTGTTAGTAATGACAATTTTAAAAAAATGATGTTAACCACTGTCATTTTTTTCGTGATTTATACTCTGTTCTTCTGTATTTGAGCAATTATATTAAATTTTAAATAATGATAATATTATAATGTCATACAATGACATTTATATTACATTGTCATATAATGTAACAATATAATACGTTGTCGAAAATTGTTTTTATCATAGTAATGTCATTTTTATATCATGTCGTTGTTTTAAAATTTTCATTTTTAATAGCATTGATGTTGTCACGGTCATTGACGTCGGCATTGACATTGTCATTATCACAATGTCATTTTTAATTTCATTATCATTGTCATTATTTGACATTGTGACAGTTTTTTGACATTTTGATAGTTTTTGGATATTGTCAACTTCTTACAACGGCATGACAATGTTACAATATCTCAATTTGATTAGCAAAATAATGACACTTCTTGACAATGTCACAATATTAATATCTCAATGCCACAATATTACAATGACATGACAATGTTACAATATCACAATGTCAGAATATTACAATGTCACAGTATCACACTGTCATTTTGTTAATAATAAAAATGTTAATAAATTAAGTCAACATTGACGCCTTTTTATTTTCTTTTTTGCTAGTTGTTTTAGTTTTAGGTTACTCAAAGATATTAATTTTCAAAAAGTACATGATTACATTATCATACAATGTCATTGTGTATCATTGCATTGTCGATAATGTACTACACATTGTCAACAATATTTTCTCGATATACACACTTTCACTTTTTATAGTACTAATGTTGTTTTTAACAATGTCAATTTTATTAGGAGTGAGCTCAGCCCAATCCGATCTAATATTATAGAATTGACGATGTTATGATAGTCATTGACATTGTCATTACTACAATGTCATTTTATAATAGTGCCAATGTCCTTGTTATTTGTGACATCCCTCTGACATTGTGACATTTTCTCTATACATTGATAAAGTTTAAAATATTATGACATTACTTGACAATATTTATAATAATATTTGAGATTGGAATTGTGTTATCATTTTAAAATTGGGATATTGCTTGTTTAATGCATCTCGGTATATGGACATATCTAGAAAAAACTACCAGCTGGCTAACTTTAATTAATCATAATAGAATTTTCAATTGAGTCCAACTATTCTAAAAGTGAACATGCCCAGAAGTCTTCACAGGCACAATGCATAAGCTAACAAACATTGCTCATCCAAATTTCCACTAAAAAAAACCTCTTGAAGTGCTGCGAATAAAATCAAAACAATAGCAGGGAAGAACAATCACATAAGACGAATAGCAAATCTGCAATTCTGGAGATGTAAGGGCCAAAGAAGAATCTCCCTAACAATTTGGAAGAGGGGAAAAAGAAGGAGGAGGAGCCTATCAGGAGTCTCGGCTATGCCATTGGCGACCACTCCGGTGATGACTCGCACCGGCGGTCATTGCGGCGGAAATCGGCAGTGGACCGGCAGTGATTATGACCTGGAATCGACGAGAACGATTGCTCAGTTATAATCTGGTGCTCCATAGTCATTATCGGCATGGAATGAATGTAATGGATCCGCAAGATGCGGCTCCATATATTGGCAGCAGAATTTCTCGGAAGAAACCATATGTGAGGGTATTTTTGTCCCTCCGTTCAAAAGTAGTCCTAGATAGGGGTTTAAAAGTTTGAAGTCCTATTTACATTCCAAACACTTTTTTTAGTCCTATTTAGGTCTATCACCCTAACTGCCGGCTATGTTGTCCACATATGTTTTCAAATACTCCCTCCCAGAACCGGCTATATGGGGAGTTGACAAAGGCAACTGCCTAGGGCCTCGTATCTACATGGGGCCTCATTTTTAAAAAAAAATCTACATAGTAGTAGTTTAGTTACGAAGCATATTGGGTTCTTCTAATTAGTAAATTGGTTGGTAGCAAAGAATGGTGATAATTTGTACCATAATTCCGAAAAGAATAAAAAAGGAAAGAGGACAGATCCATCACCCATTATATCTTATTATATCTTATTATAAGTTGCTGCCTTGCGTTGCCCGTATTATTGACTAATGGCCATCCCTATATTTTATAATTAGCCTTATTAATATTGTTTCTCTCTAATCGAAGTACTTTTAATTTGTTGTTGTTAGTTTAGAGTTTGTAACAAGGTGTTAAGCAGTATGACTGTATGAGATGTACAAGTTGTCTCTATTTTAAAAAATAGTACTCAAACAATTTAGTTTGTAAGATTATAAGAAGGTGTTTACTTAATTTGATCTTAACACAACCATTTATTTTGTGTTGTGTTTTTTTAATTTCATCCTTTTTGTTATTGTTTTATTTGTCATTTTTTAAAAAAATATGTAAGTCTTGCGGCTAATACACGAAAATTTATATTTGTACATATATGCAAAAGAGAATAATAATTAATACTCTCTACATATGTAGAGATTTGATTATAAAATTGTTTGACCGATCTATGAATTGGTACTTAAAATAGATCTTGATAGACTCAATAGTTAGGGCTGGTTTGCAATTGCTTAAAAAACATTTCTCGGCTTTTGGCTTAAAAAATCACTTATTTAACAAACACTATCAATTTTTACTTTTCTCGGCTTTCGTGTGAAAAGTGTTTTTCCCTTTTATATTACACAAAAAACACTCATTGTACCAAACACTACTAACTTTTACTTTTCAAAATCACTTTTTTCTCAAACACTATCAACTTTTACTACTAATCACTTTTTCCATTTAACTCCAAAAGTGTTTTTTTTAAACAGAAGCAGTGCAA